ATATTTTTTTGAAAAAAACCGCCAAGTCGTTTGATTGTAGATTTCGAACCGGGGATTCTACTTTTTTGAAAATAAAATGAAATGAGCCAAGTGAGAAAAAATCAGTAGAAGCAAAATAAAGTACTTGGCGCGGAGTTTTCCATCAAGTAGCCTGTCCCTTATCAATCTAATTTCAATCTCCTGCCCCGCGCCAAGTACTTTATTTTGCTTCTACTGATTTTTTCTCACTTGGCTCATTTCATTTTATTTTCAAAAAAGTAGAATCCCCGGTTCGAAATCTACAATCAAACGACTTGGCGGTTTTTTTCAAAAAAATATTTTTTTTTTTGTTTTTTGGCATTGATACAGACAGTGAATTGAAAAACTCCGCCCCAAGAACATTGGTCCTGGTCCTACTGATTTTTTATTTCATGTAGAATTTTCTTAGAATACTTATTCTATTGAGAACTATTTTTCTTATAGAAACTTGAATGGGCACTACCACCATTTATTCAAAATTCTTACTTGGCTTCCTTTTTCATTTCTATGTATTTTTCAAAAACTTCGATTTCGCAGTAGGAATCAAACAAAACTTTTTCTAGGCCCGATTTTTTTACAAAAACATTTGTTTTTGTGTTTTTAGGCAGATTTCATTATTTTTTTCAAAATAAGCAAGGACTGTTTTTACATCCGGTGAAATTTGTTCTTTTCAATTCAATTTAACTGATTCATTTTTCATAAGATAGAACATTTTTTGAATCAACAATTAAAGGGAAATTGGACAGTTCTACTCCAGATTTATTCTCTTTACCGAATTTCAAATTTTAATCATCTATTAACAATTTTCTGACTTGATTTGGTTCCTCATTCAATTTTTGCTCTGACGATTCCTATATGGATTGTATTTCGTGGAGAGAAGAACTGATTTCCTTATAGGAATAGTCGAACAAAATGTTCATAAAGAATTCTTTTTGAAAACATCTGTTTTTTTTTGTTTTTAAAAATATTAAGGAAACATTTGGCGGAATGGACTCTTCTGACGTCTTATTTCAATATGTATAACCAAGGAACAAATTTATCGATTGAGCTCAGTCTAAGCTTATTACAAAGGGGCTGACTGTCCCTGGCAACTTAGTATCCTGGCTGTTACGAGGATGTTACGAGGATGTTATTTTAATATGAAAAAGGCCGAAAATGACATAAATACAGTTCCGAAAATGGTTAAAAACTTGAAAGATGATCGATTTGTATCAATTAATACAGTTTATTGTGTTATTGTCTAATAATTAGCAGAAATGGGTGAAAGTGTGATTATGCCAATACAATCCCCGATTAACGAAAGCCGCGAGATGGCGTTAGGGTTAAATGACCGCCCTGGTTGGCCAGGTTAACAGCACTGCGATTGCTGCCGCAGCAGTCGCAGGCCAGCCGTCTGCCGAACAAGTCGACAGAAGGGTGTTGCGGGGCATTTTGTTATTTTATTTTAGCTGAAAAAATGTTGATATTTTAAATTATTCAATGCTGATGACTGTCAGGGTTGAAAGTAGACGCATGTATCCGGAGGGATGAAAATTGAGGGGGCGAGGGGGAGGGGTCTGAGATTACATTTTTAGAAAATTTACACCTCCGAGCACATGCACTGA